GAATGGAATCAGAACAGTTTAAAGGCTAATATAATACCTGGTAGAGATAATGGAGACTTAGGTGAAGATAGTAGCTGAGGTGTGAGAAGTGGTCAGATTCTGGATATATTTAAAGATATAGATTGGATTAGAGGATGGCAGAAAACTTTGACTCTAGCAGCTAAAAGACAGTTTCTGTTAATGAGAACTGAGATGACTAGAGGGAATGATTGGGAGTTGGGAAATAATAGCTCAGTTTGGATCTGGTATGTTTGAGATGTTTGGGAAAGTTGGGTGATAAAGCATTTAGTGGTTGTGTAACTTTACATTACTATAAGAAAATACCTGAGGGTCTGGAGAGATGACTCAGTGGTTAAGAGCACTGGCTGCTCTTGCAGAGGACCCAGGATCAATTCTCAGCACCCACATGGCCAACAACTGTCTGTAACTCCAGATCCATGGGAATCTAATGCTGTCTTCTGACTTCTATGGGTATGCAGGGATACTAGCACACATGCAGGCAATACACTCATACACACAAAAATAATAAAATAGTTTATAAAAAAGAAAAGGAAAATACCTGAGATGCACAGCTTGAAAAGGGGAAAGACTCACTGTTCTGGAGATTTTAGTCCATGATAGGTTGGCTTCATTGTTTGGGAGCCTGTGGCAAGGCAATAAGTCTTGGCAAAGCATGTGGCAGAACTAAACTGTTCACGTCATGGCTGGTGAAAACGATGGGCGTAGACTGGGTCCTGTAATTCTCTTCACAGGCAAGCTCCCAGTGACCTGTAACTGTCTACTAGGCCCTGCCTCTGAAAGGTTTTCTCTACTTCCCAAGATAGGACTATGCTTTTAACACATGGGACTTTGGGGAGCATTTATATCTGAACAATAATGGTACTAATCTGTGTATAGACTGAATTTAGAGAAGTTTTTTAAAAAAGTTTTTAAAAAAGTAACTATGCACATTACAGGAATACTTTTGGTTCTCTGATAAAATGTCAGAACATACACAAAAACATTCTCCAGGTGATTAAAATAGAGGGTAAGGATAGGCCAACAGGTTCCCCAAAAGGAGAATGTAAGGCTGGCAGGCTAAGGCACTTGCTACCAAACCTAATGGGTGACAACCTGAATTTGATCTTTGGTATCCACATGGTATAAGGAGAGATCGGACTCCCACACATTGTCCTCTACTTCCACATACATACACATACATTGTGGCACACATGCACCACCACCCACATGTGAATAAATAAGTGTAATGAAAACACTTTTAGAGTTCCCTCCACCATCTCAGAGTAATGCATCTCTCAGCTCTCACCAGAGAAGCTTCTTTATGCAGCAGATGATGATTAATACAGAAACCAACAAATGACCAACCTGTAGAGAAAAAGAGGCTGCAGAGTGCTTATCCCTGAGTAGGACACCTATATCAAGCTTTTGCCTCCCAAGGCTCAGAGATAATTGAGGAAGAGGGGGCAGAAAGATTGTAAGAGCCAGAGGTGGTGGATGACCACAGGGAAATAGAATTTTCCAGACAGCTGGTCAGTTACTCATATGGACTAAAAGCAACAGAGGCAGCATGCATAAATCCCAGGCAAGCTCAAACCAGACAAAATCCCAGTATAGACATGGGGAAGAAATCCCAACTCAAGAAACTTTTGGCAACTGATGGCTGCTGGGAGGAGAAGAGTCAGTCTTTTTCAATCATGGGACTCTTAATAGATTAACCAGGCTCCAAAAGCTGGACCCACACTGAAGGACATTTGGAAACACAAATTAGACTCACTCTCTCTCTCTCTCTAGACTCCCTGTATATAGACTGTATATAATAGCACACATTAAGTTGGGGGGGATCTAAATACAATCAAAATATATTGTATGAAAATCACAAAAATTCAATAAAAATTATCATTGCAACCCTACCCTCAGTTTTCTAAAATGGCTAAATAGAACATTTGAATCGACATCTAGCTTTTAAATATATCTTAAAAATAAAATTTTTTATGAAAATAGAAAAGATACTTGTAAAGGGGGACTATGACCTAATACTTGCTACTTGCCAGACACTTAGATTCAGATTTTTCAGTGTTAATTTTGGCCTTAAGGTTCAGAGTTTCCATGGCCAACACAAAACTGTAAATTTACTTGAAGCATTATAATTTGCTTTGTAATTATTTTGTAATTCCACTGTACGGTTATCAAATATGAAATTTGTAGATGACAATATTTTGTCACCATGTCGCATAAAATAAATGTGTGTATGTGGTGTGTGGCTTCCAATGTGTTATCTTCCAAGTGCAGATGGATGAATTGGCATCATTAGGTGCTACATGTGCTGTGGTGATTTGGCAGGTGGAATGTAGCGATAATCAATAGTGTTTTAACCCACCATTGCAAACAATAGACAGCTAAGTATTCTTATTTGCTTATTCAGGATACTTCTACACCTTAGCCACATCTCATGAGTCACCCTACTCACTTTAAAATAGGCCCTCTGCTTTGAGCTGCATTGGCAACTGAGATATGAAAGGGCCCAAACCATGCTTTTTATTTTCCCATCAATTTTCATAATAAAGGTGAATATCATCTCTTATTATTTTTTAAATCCCACCATGGCTTCTATAACATCTAAAGAAAACAGAACTCTCAAAAGAAAAAAAATATCACAGATGAAGAAAGGTTGTTTAATAAAAATTTATCAGATAACTATTATTTTCCTTCTTAAAAAAGATTTAATTTTTATTTTATGTGTCTGTGTGGAGGTCTAAGTGTACATATGTGCACTACATGTGTTCAGGTGCTGGTGGAGACCAGAAGAAGGTATTGTATCCCCTGGAACTGGTGTTACAGGCACTTGTGAGCCACCATGTGGGTTCTGGTTACTGAACCCAGATCCTCTGCAGAGCAGCAAGCACTCTTAATCACTGAGCCATCTCTCCAGTTCCAACTTTTTTTTTTTTGTTGTTGAGGCAAATAGTAAGGGCAGTCTTCCTAATTTATGGGGAATTTGTGCAAGTTTTCAAAGACTGTAATTTAAAAAGGCGTTATATGTGGAAACATGCTGCCATATTTGGTGTGAATCAAGGATTATGTCAAAAGGATAAAGTAGTGAAACAGAAAAAGATCTAGCATCTCAAAAAAAATTTTTTTTAAAGAAGTTACAACTCAAAAGGATACTATTATAAAAGCTACTTATGTGGTAGCATACTTACTGGCAAAAATCTCAGAATCATTTTCTGATGGTGAATTTATTAAGTAGTACATGAATAGCATGGTATATTGACTATATCCTGATATAAGGGAGATATCTCCAAAATCTCTGAAGTCTCATCAGACTGTAGCCAGGTGAACTGAGGAAATTGGAAAATCAATCGCAGGAAGTTGCAGAGTAGATTGTCAGCATATCTAGTATAGTCAGTGGTGATGCCCTGTGATGTAAGCAAAAGAGCTGAATTTGTAAAATTAAAGAAGGTTATGAAATTGCCTCCCATACTCATGTTTAATGAAGTATCATTGCATAATGCAGTAGCAAAATTAATGTGCACTAATATGCAAAGTATTAAAAATGGATGACATCATGCAAATCATCAAGATGATGAATTTCATAAAGGCCAGAGGATGAAATTATTGCCAGTTCCTGGAATCCCTTAGAGGTGTTGATGCTGACAATGGTGACATTATTTACTTTTCAGAAGTAGGATGGGTAGATAAAGGTCAAATGATGAGACTATTTTATAAGATGAAAGATGGTTTCAAGTCGTTCATGGGATTAAAAACAAAATTTGTGCCAGAACTTGATGATGAAAATTGGATTAGAGATCATTTTTGGTGAATTTAATATTTCATTTAAATCAGTTAAACATTTGTCTTCAAAGTGAAAACTACCTTACCGTTACCATATTTCAAATTATAAAAGTGTTGTAATTGAAACTAAAATAATGACATGCTCAAATTAATGCAAACAATTTCATGCATTTCAGTTCGTTGGTTGAACAGCAAAAAATAAGTGGCCTTGTGCCCTGATTTGATACGAGAATTTGAAAACAGATTTCAAGTTTTCTGGGAGAATAACATTTTGGTATATTTATAACTCTATTTTCAGGTATATCTATCCCCTCCACATAAACATGTTACCTGTCAACTTTCAAATAGGATGCATAGAGCTCCAATCTGATGTTCATCTTAAGGAAAAGTGGACTCATGTCTCTTTATTGGACTTCTATAGGTCCTAACTTCCCAGAGACAACTATCCCTTGGTTCATAATCACACCTTATTCATAGCGCCACCTTTTGGCAGCACCTACATTTGTAAACAAATATTATCAACTGAGTAAATTTAGAACCAAAATATCCAGTGAGCACCAGGAGAACTCACAGAACTGAGCCACTTCTGTCAGACCAGATGCTAATGCATTCATTTAAGTACAGTGTCAAATATGCCACTAGCTTCACGGTGCTCTCTTTTCCTCTGCTCTTATAACAAAATCTATTAAAAAATCAGTGATTTCACTGCTTAGATATATTTTCTTTTTTAGTGATTTTCAAACTTGGAGACCCATTTCATTATTATAAAAGACCTGATAGGCACTACATAAATCAGGATTATTATGTGAGAACTTTTTCCTTCAATGTCATTGTGGATATCACAAAAATTGTACATAGACCATTTTTTTTTTTTGCTTATTAGGTTTTGTTAATGTTGATGCATTTAGCATGTGGCCCAAGACAATTCTTCATCCATTGTGGCCCAGAGAAGCCAAAAGTTTGCATACCCCTGGTCTAGGTCAGTGCACAGGAACCACTTTTGTTTGCTTTGGCTCAAGGCTTTGTAGAAATATTGAAAAAATCAAGTATCAAGCACCTTTTTTATCTGACAAAGTAGCTCCTCAGATCAAATCTCCCAGATTGTTTATAATTTTAGGTTTATGCATAAAGAATGTTTCTCATAAGTTATCTGAGTGTGGATATAAAGAACTGATGACCTTAATTTTTCTTCTTCCCCTTATTTGCAGCAATGGTGAGCTAGACCCATGGTCAGGAGGTGGAGTTACTGAAGATCTCTCGGATTCCCTGGTGGCTGTTAACATCCCAGAGGGGGCCCACCATTTAGATCTGCGAGCCAGCACTTCCATGGACCCACCATCCCTTCAGTTAGCCCGCTCAGTGGAAGTTAGATACATGAAGCAGTGGATCACAGATTTCTATAACAATGCCAGAAAGAAACCCTTAGCAACTTAAAAAACAAAAAAAACCCACTTTACTTTCTCCTTTTATGTTCCATACCCTCACTTTGATTTTTTAAAATATGTAATTACTTTCTCCCATTTGTCATTAGATTTGTTGGGCCAAGGCTGATACGGAAGAGAGTGATGGGGTGAGCACTGCCGTCCCACCCAGGTCACTGTTCCGTCCTCACTGCCTTTGTGTCATCTCCAGGAAGAACGTCCTCATGACAGCTCCCAGGCCATTACAACTGGAGCCTTTCCTAAGTGCTTTTCACCGGAGGGAGAGCCACTTCCTTTGCCTCTGCAAGCAGAGATTTCTCCTTGGTTTTGAGGTTGATGTCTCCTGGCCCATTGTTAAGTCCCCATTCCTACCTCAAATAGGAAAAGCAGAAGCTGAATTAAAAATGACACAGTTGCAGCTGGTAGGAAGGATGTGTGAGGCCAATCCAGGAAACAGGGCCGTTTCTTTTGAACTTGATTTACAGACTTGATTTACAGACTTTGAACCGTGCTGCAATAAAGAACCAGGCTGGACCTTCTACCTGTGTGCTGTGCCTCATCTCCCTCCAGCTGTTGGGAAGGCAGTGTGCCTGGGCTGGCTGCTTTAATTTTCTTTCCCACTTGGCAGCTCTCCTTAGTTCTGGGATATTTGCCACCGTGGTTGTGCCAGGAAGAAATCTGGCCTTCTCCTGCTCCACTTCTCTTTGTTTCTCAGGTCACTTTTGTGGTAATTTAGTTAAATTCTGCCAATTTAGGAAAATCTCTGTTATGTCTTTCACTTTAAATCTGAACAGGCTCAATGCTGTGGTCACTGATAATACTTCAGTAATAAGTCTTTTAAAATTGATGAATCAGCTATTCAAAAAGTAAAATGTAGTTCTGATTATCTTTAAAGAACATTTTATTTTCTGATAGTTTTTACTGGTATTGTTACGGACAGAAGTGCCAGGGAACCGAGTGGCAGGTGCATGTGGACTTCTCTGTCTGGTTTCCAAAAGACAAGCACAGTGACTCATGCAGGCAGCATTTTTGACATTAATAAATGGTGGAGTCATGCCCGTTCCAAGGGGATAGCTTCTTTCAAGCAGTTCTTACACTGAGACCTTTCTTCAGAAGAGCTTTTCTAGGATAACAAATAAGGTTGAATCAAAACCTTTCAGGGACCCAGAGAGAGACTAACAGTTTCTTCTCTGCCAACAAAGTTCTTCATAGTTTCTTTTTATTTTCTCAGTAAATTTGTTTTTATCCTGTCCTGGGGAAGGTCCCACTTTAAAAAAAGTATACCTTGAGATTGATATTTCAAAAACATATTTTTTTAAAGTGCAGAAAATATAGTTTACTTTTGAGAGGAAGACTGAAAATTTCCCCTTATTACCCTGACATCTGGGACATACAGGAAGATCTTTGTCTCCTTTTGGAAGCCCTCAGTTCTCATTGGAATGAGTTGAGCACTTTGCTCAGTAGTTTTGTTTCAACATCAGAGAACAGTCTACTAGGGTGGGGATTTAAATATTAAATTTCTTGTTCAATATGAAGTTATATAATGCAAAGTGTTTAGTAGACATACTCTTATTTCTTACTTCAGGATTTTATCTTGTTTTCCTTGGAGCTTTTTACTTCTTTAAAATACTTTAGCATTTCCTTCAATATTTATTGTTAGAAGTTATATTTTTATGAAAAAACAAATTGTAAAAAGAAAGACCTTTTGTAAGTATAATTTGATCTTATATAAAGTTAACCTAGTTAGCCTAAGTAAAATGTTCTAAAATTTCATTTTATGTCAAAAAAGGATCAGAATATTAAATCTTATTAACAACAGCTGGGCACATGCATGTAATCCCAGCACTCAGAAGGCAGAGACAGGAGGACTGTTGCTAGTTCAAGATCAGCCTTGCCTATATAGGACCTCCAGGCCAGCCAGGGCTTTCCAGTGAGATCTTGACTCAAAATTCAAATCAGAAAGATCAAAAATCCTAATAAAAACAACAAACTCCAAACTTAAGTTTTTGGTAGTTTTTAGTATGTTTTATCTTTTAATTTTTTAAAAAGTTTTTTTTAAAGCATATGTTAACTGTCCCAGTTTGCTTTCAGTTGCTGTGATAAAACATTGACTAAACCAACTTGGGGAGGAAAGGGTTTATCTGTTTTATAGTTAACTGTTCGTTATCAAGGGAAGCCAAGGGAGGAAGTCAGGATGGAGAAGCTGAACCACAGCCATGGAGGAATGCTGCTTACTGGCTCGCTCCTCTGTCCTGTGCTCAGCCTGCTTTCTTATACAAAGCAGGACAACCTGCCCAGGGTGGCACCACCAAGTGGACTAGGTTCTCTCATACCACTCAACAATCAAGAGAATGCCCCACAGACATGGCCACAGTCCAATCCAATGGAGGAAATTCCTCAGCTGAGGTTACCTCCACCCAGGTGTATCAAGTTGACAACCGAAGCCATTCAGCACCTCAACTATACATGATATCACGACATTTCCCCACATGTCTCCTTGTTGTCCTCTTCCCATTCCTGCTGATCCTCTTCCTCTTCCTTCTACTTTCAGGTCTTTTTTTTTTAACTTTTAAAAAAATTTATTGAGAATTTCATACATGCATATAAGGTGTTTTGATCAAATCCACACCCACTCCCTCCCCTCCAACTCCTCCTGTATCTCTCCATCACTTTTTCCTGAACAACTTTGTGTACTCTTTGTTTTATTGGGCTTTTTGTTACTCTAACATTCCCCCCCTCTGAAGAGGTAACCCTAAAATCTTTTAGGGATTAGATAAGAGCTCCCAAATATTTTTTGACATTATTGGCCTTTGGAACAGAGAATGTTGTTAAAAGGCCCAAGGACATTTTGATTTTTAGCCAAGGAACTGGCTACTTTTCTCTGGGGTCTTTTTACCATAACTGCCTAGCCAATTCCTACCTCCTATTCTTATCACAACATCTTCTGAAGAGATTACCCAAACTGCCAATAGGGAATCAGGACACAGACCACTCTGGCTTCTTCCATACTGAACAGGGATGCAGGGTGAGGCAATTGGGGTACCCCTTCAGTGGGTCTATCTAAAATACTCCCAAATTGCATAACTCTTAACTGTAGGGAGAAAAGAAGTCCTTGACTGGTGCCTAGGAGATATGAAGGAGAAGTAAAGGCAAGAGTAGTTAGCATTACAAGTTCTAGACAGGGAACCAGAAAAAGGTCAGAACAGGGCAAATTTCAAATGTTCATATGAGAGTCCGTTGGAATTTCTTGACAAGGGCCTCCAAAAGTATCCCTCTATTGTGTTCCTCCTAATTTTTCTTTTGTCTGCCAAGGCTGGAATTGAGAGCGATGGGACTCAGGATTTGTTTTCAGGCACTTTGATGGCTGTTGGAGTGGCTAGAATCAGTGTCAGTTCCCTCTTGAAGGTTTCTAGATAGGGAGAGAAAACAAATTTAGCCATCATTTTAGAATAGTGAGTTGTCTTCCTTAGCTACAGGTGGGCACTACAGTATTGCAGAGCAAGATTTGAAGTCTTATTAGAAACAAAATCATCAATGAGAAATAATTGTTTAAATAACATTTTAAATAATTGTCTAACTTTTTATATGGACTTAAGCCTAAAGTTGGGAAGTGTAATCCCTTGAACTCATAAAGAAAGATGAAATAATGAAACTTGCAGGTAAATAGATGGATCTAGAACCTGTTTTACTAAGTGAAGTAACACAGACTCAGAAAAAGAAAAGACATATGTTCTCCCTCATTTGTGGATCCTAGCACCAAATCCTTAAAAATTCCATGTTCTTTTAAGAAGATGATGCTGTACAGCAGTCTCTTCTGTGTGAAATGAATACCATCGTCACAACTTCAGCTGTGCCTGCCTGCTAAACATTGTCACAATTGCGCTTGTTGATGGTTGTGCTCCTTTATTAAAGGAAGGGCAAGCAGGGTCATTGGACCCTCACCAGAGTATCCAGTGACTCTTCCCAGCCAGCTGTATGTAATTTGGCCCTAATCACACATGGTCTTCTGGATTTGGGGATGACTAAAGTATATAATTTGGGGAAGGTTAGGAAGAGATGGCTTGATCCATGCTGGGTAAAGGCTTTCCAGTGTGTATACCCCAGGTCACTCATATACGTCAGCAACCCCTCAGTCACCTCTGTAAGTAAGCTCAGTAAATTCATTGGTTCCCCAGGAAAACTTTAGTCAAACATTGGTTTAACACTAGAACCCTAGAAGGGGATAAACATTGCTTAATATCTCCAGGAAAAGAATTTGTGTAACAGATGGAAATTTATTTGTTAATGCTATTATGTCTCATAACTATTAAAAAAGAAAACAAGAATATAAAAGATGTTAACAGGATATGGGAATGGAGATATTTTCCAAAATAGAAAGAAAATTGAGAAAGTCTAGGCAAGTGATGAAGGTCTGTATAGGTTTGATATAATATATAAAGGATGAGACAAAAATAATATACACATTATATTAAAATTTTTAAGGTCATAGTTTAGTCAACTAGTTTAAAGAACAAAATATACGTCTAGTCAAGGTTTATCTGAGAATGTTTGGTTTTTGCCCAAGCTTTATCTACATAGCACATGGTAAAAGTACTAGACTGGTGGAACTAATCTTGGATGTTTAACAGCCATACTTTGAGTCCTATACTAATCTGGTCAGAGGGACTTAAAAGATACTTTTTGCCTCTTGCTCTCCAAGGTTGACAAAGTTCCAGGGGACTGTGGAACATCTCTCAAAATGTCCTGCAACTGTTGTGAGTCACCTGTCTTCTTGTTCAGGGAGGATATGGAGACCCCATGAGATGAACTTGAACCAGTGTCCAGTCTACAAAGAGGAAGGTCAACACAGAGGAAACATTTCCTCCATGCTTCCAAGTGAAGCAAGCCATGGTCGAGCAGGACCTTTGAATTATCTTCACATAGATAGAACTGGTAAAAGAAAGGAGTCAGGGTCTTCTCCAAAGCCCATGTGACCCTGAGGAACAGATCCCCAAATGACCTTAAGAGTAGAAATAAATTGGTTTATTTGGGCCAACTATATGGTCTTAAACACCCCAAAGGAAAAAGGTTAAAGTGATCACTACTTTCATGTCTTTTTTATTGTAAAACAATGAGTTTCCTTAGGGTTGTTTACAGGAGCACGGGTAAAAGGTTATATGAGAGTATGGGCAACTGAC